TGTTGAACTCCGGACTGTCGTTCGGTGTTTTTCGGTTATGGCTGCTACTCATGCTCTCAGAAACTCTTGTTAACAGTGTGACGGGAGCTGCCGTGATTTCATGAAGCAGGCATCAAGTTCCTTCGCCGCTGGACTTCGTTCAAGTTGGACAGCGAGATCAGAGCGCTTCGTCACAGTTTCCTTGTGGCTCTGCGGGACACCTTCGGCATTGGCCTCGTGCGCCCGGATGAATGGAACGACACTCCCCTCCACGCCCAGATTGACTTGGGCAGGGGAAACACCGTGGTTCCTTACGAGGTCAACCATCTGAGCAACCAGCACGCTTTGTTGAAGGTCCTGCCGGACAACGACGTCGAACAGCTTGGGCTGGATTCCCGCATGCACGAGGGTGGCTTCCGTCTCCTTGTGGGCAGCTCTGGCTTAGACACTTCATCTCAGCACTTGCCATTCGGCAGCCTCATTTTGCAAGGTGTTTACGTGATCGAGAATGGATCAAATGGAAACATTGAGATTACATTCCGCTCAAAGTTTCCCATGATTACGAACCCTTGGAGTACAATGACCGCCGTGCAAGAGCTTCACAATCCGGCATTGGGAGACGGAGAAGCACGCATCCTTGTCCCAGAGGCCTCTCCGACAGCTATGGGGCAGAAGATCAAGATCAGAGGCAACTTCGGGTTCCGTGGACCAGCGTATGGACCTTAAATGAAACCCAGCAGATGGATATTATGGACAGATTGTGATTTTGTGATTTTGTTGCTTTAACTTTGTGCGGGGCTCCTGAGGAGCATGAACCCGCAAGAGTCTCTCCCCACTCCTCCTCGGAGTCGGAGGGGTCGGTCAGGCTGAGCATCCGAACCAAGCGTTTGGAGTGCTTGGCCTCCCTTCTTGTCCTCCCTTGGTTCGAGAATGCTATGACCAAACTGGTCCTTCAAAAACAAGATTCCAGTCGCATCGTAATTTTGCTGCTGAGCTTGGCCACATTGACATTCAGTTTCGGTTTTCGCCTTCCATGTCGAATTGCATAGCCCTTATGCCACCAGAAGTGCAGTGCGGCTGTGAAGATCCCTCCATGTTTGGGTAGCTACAAGCTGTACTGCACCGCTGCCCGCATAGATTCCTGTTTTGAACTCTTCAACACAGGGCCTGTGCGCCAAAGGGGACGCTTATCCATCGGTCGTTCGTTCTTCGTCTTTGTTGCTTCCCAAAAATTTATTGCTCGGAAGGTTCAGCAGAGTTGCAGTGCAGTCAAGACAAAGGCATGGTGCATGTTGCATCGCACAGTTGAGAGCAACAGCAGCGAAGAGCCACAGTCCTATCCCATCTCGGTGTTCGGCTTACATGGGTGATGCGTCGCATAGCAGCGACGTCGCTGCCATGAGGACTGGATTCGATTTATGGTTTTTTCGTAAAACTGCGTCGCCTTATCGGCTCCAGAAAGGTCTTGTGACAATATTGATGTAGCATGAGATCTCAAGTATTGCCAGGAGCGCTTCTGTTGGGCTGGCCAAAGACATGGTTGCTGCCGCCCTCGTCTGAGTTCTCAATCGTGTGTAACATGTGTAACGCAGTTTCAAGCGATGATGACGATGGGGAGGAGGAGGGTGCATGCAGGGACATGAAGGTTCTCGTGACGTTCAGTGTTGAAGGACATTTTGTTTGTTGACGAGCGAAGCTGCCTTCGGATTCGTTGGTGTGTCAGGTGCCCCGCAGCATACCAGCAAGCCCGCCTGCACGCTCTCTGGTGCTTTGGCACGCTTATGTTGGGGGGATTTCCCGGAGTAAACGCATCATGTCCTAGCGGGGAGGGCAGTTTGCAGCTGTCGCACGTTGGATGATCACCCCATAGGATCCCTTAACCGTCTTAACCTCCAATCCAGCCCCCAGGACCGTGCGGAACCTTAGCCGGTATTTCGGGTGACCTCCAGAGTCGCAGGCAACGGAGCTTCGGCAGTTGTCCACGGCATTGCAGGCCGCGTTTGGGGGAAGCAGCTCACAGCCTAAAAGATCCCAAAGATCGGTATTCCTTGGCACGAACAAGACTGAATTCCTTTTGACCGCCGAACGCGTACGATTGGAGGCGCTGTGTAGCGGAATGTAGCAGTGCAGTGGAAACCAGAACGTGGCGTGGACATGTTGGCCAACAAGGCCAACAACACGCATCTGATCCCACGTCGTCAGGAGTCACCAGATGCCGACTTGAGCACGACCTCGCTTGCTTCCTGCAGCGATCCCGGCCGCGTTGCCGAAGAGAGCTACCATAGTTTGCCATGAGATATATGGGGTTCCTAGGAACTCCCAATACGCCTGGGAAAACAGCATGAGGGTGTTGTTTGTGAGAAAACCTCCAGACCTGAAAGCAAAACCCAAGGCATCTCCGGATTTGGATTGCTGCAGGCAGCAGACAGAACCCGTCCCCGAACTCACCCCGAATCCGAAATGGCGGCTGTTCTGAGTTGTCACACCCTTTTGGGCATTCTACTCGTTTAGCTTAAAAGGCCAGGCGGAGCAGAATTCCCTTGTAGTGGCAGGCAACAGCCAGCTGCATCGGAGCGGAGATGCGCCGGAGCCCCGATCCCAAAAAGACTGGAGCTGCGGTGTCGTCGGACTGGTCTTGGCCATGCGGCAATCGCAGTCAAAGTCGGCCTCGAGGCAAAACGGCCGCCGCCGCAATCTTGCCGTGACAGGCACGCTGCGATGCAACTTCGACAGAGTGCTTGGGATCTCGATGAGAATTACGGACGGTGCAGACAGCTGACGTGTTGCCCTCCCCATCTCATTTGTTAAGACTCCTTTGGGCACGGACAGCGCTACCACGGAGTGTGGGCTGCGCGGTCGAGCCCAGTTCCGCTAGTGCTCGCGCTTCTTCCCGGGAGTTTGTGCGAATTGCCAGGTCCAGCCCTGCGAGATCTGTGGAGCTCGATTGCGCACCTGAAGGCCCTCAGCCCAGCCGGGCGGAGTCATCGCTCTTTGATGGACCTGCCATGAGCACCAGCATCTTTCGGTCTGCACAGCAAGCCTCAGGGCCCGAAGTCCTTAAACTTTTACTAGATATAATATATAATACATAATATATAATATATCATATATAATACATAATATATAATGTATAATATATAGTATATAATATATAATACCCTAAGCCCCGAGCAGCGCTCCCCCGCTTCCTCCTCCCTCGATCCGAGGGACAGTGCGAGAGCAGCCGGCGCCGCTTGGCCCAAGTGGAGCAAAGGCTCGAAGCGCAGCTCCAGGCCTCCCCGCATGGGGTTTCGGTTGTTGGGGGGTTGACGTGAGGCCCGAGTGCTTCGGAGCTTGAGTTGGGGAGCGGGGCTCTGATGCTGGGAAGTGAGTGTGTGCTGCTGCTATGCAAAGATGTGGGTGGTGACAACAGCATGACAATGAGTGGCGCTTGTACCACAGGAGAGCGGGCCAGCAATAGCCAGACTTGTCTTAGAGTGTGACTGCAATGAGGGCGCGCCTAGGTTCTTGAGCCCAGCGGAGCAATTGCCGCAACTGGAGTGCAGCTTCCCAAGCCCGAAGTCAGCACTGCGTCCTTAACGCAGGATCGCCTGGAGAACAAGGGAGATGTCAGGGAGCGCCTGGCGGAGATCCAGGAATCCAACTTGCTTTCCAGTATGTTCTGCACCGAACGAATCTCTTCATCCCGTACACGTGGATTAGAGGCGAGTCCCGGCGTTCCGCGGTTTCGGCTCAAAGTTGACAGCTCTGAGGAGTAGTGAGTGGGGGTCACATTCACCGCCGCAGGTGCAGCAACTCCCTCACTCTGACCAGTTTCTTTCGCAGGCCACTCCCTTGCGAATCTTCAACTCCTGCAGCCCCCAAAGCCATTAGTCCTTCAAGCCCTAAGCCTCAGGCCACTCATCGCTTCAGCTGTTGCCCCCAGTGTGCCCCGTCAAATGTCTAAACCAGCCTAATGGGCAGCGGAACACGTCCACTGGCTGCACTGTGGCGCTGAGCTAGGCAAGGCCCCGTTGAGCCGAGGGGTTCGTCCCAAACACGACGCGGTGATGAGTCTTCTGGGGCTCTTCCTTAAAATGTTCAGACTCTAAAAATACGCAGGGTTTGTAAGAAGTTGTGCAATGCGCTTCCATGGGCAGGACAACGGCTCGGGGCCATGTACTTTGTTGCGGTCGCGCTGTCGTTCGCCCTCTGTGGCTAGGCGAACACTCGTGGCAGGCATACCTAAAGCAGTAGTCATGAGAGCCGTAAGTGGACCATCATCATCATCATCATCATCAAAGAAGTACTCCTGGTTACTGCTAGTCCAAGTCATGGTGTCTTTGTGGATTCATCTGGGTTCAACTGGGACATGAGCGGCCACCGAACCGGACGCCTCCAAAATCCGAACCTTCACACACGAAGCCTTGCATCCCAAACCCGTAAAGCTGACCTGAGAAGGTTCGGGGAAGCCAGGGCAGCGGTGTAAGGAGACCTGAAGGTGCGTCTCAGCCTCATGATGGGGAGAAAACTCTCCTCAAACTGTTTTCCGGAGAAGACCCCAAGCCACCAGAAATGTTCCCAGGGACTCTGGTTCAAGTTCTTGCGGATGGAAACCTCTGCCTCCCAAATCTTCCCTAAACCCTGAACCCTAAACCCTAAACCCCTAAACCGTAAAGCCCTAAACCCTAAACCCCAAATCTTGAGTTAGGTACCTGCCTGTTCATGCTGTCCATCTACACGGGTGCTATGGTGGAGCAGAGCTGCTCCCGGGTCTCCTTCTTTCATCACCTGGCGGGGGGGGGGGGGGGGG